TTGTCCTCCAAGACACGTTGATTGAGTAGGTAGTGGAACACTTCTACGAAGAAAACACGATTGGTGAAAAATAAACATTTATTATTGTACTCATTTTGTTTAACTGTACCAAAAACAACTTTCTCGCGCGCAACGTTCTTTTCGCGTTGATGACATTTTTCATAACGTGCTGCTCTCTATGTAATGCCTACTTTCTCCTTCAAATAAATATTCGAACATGGATTTATTTCTGATTTATGTGACGGGATAGTATGGAACATTTAGTGGTGTTCATAGTCAATTTCGATTTGGTCACCACTAAAAGTATAAAACGCATTACAAAGATTTTATCATGTATTCACTTGGGATCCAAGAGATTTCGGCTGCAAAATGCTGTGGTCTATGGAACCGTCACTAGAAATGCCATTCATTTACCCTACCTCCTTTTCATGTCCTTGTACAGTTTACAAAACTCTTAACAGTATGATACAGGATATGTTAACATAAATATACTGTCCACATCACCTTTGGTAGCCCCAATAGTGCTAGTCAAATGTGGACAGAGTATTACGATCGTGCATAGATGGTCGACCGACAGGGAAGGTCACTAAACTATGCAAATAATGGACGGATCCGGATGAGGTACCCAGAATTTTAACAGAATCCGTGCGTCATGGAAGAGATTCTAGAGATGACTCCAGGTTGCCTGTGACCGTTCACCACAATCTCCCAAAGCCGAAATATAACTAACCGATATTGGCTCACCAAAGTCTTCATCGAAGACATTATTTTAATTTTGGTTATGAGTGTGTTCTTGTGATGATCAGGATTAACTGTATTCCATATGCTAACTGGTAATAGTCAGAAATGTACAATCTGTATTTCAGTAGCCAAGAGCGGGCAGATTTTAAATTCAGTAAGAACTCTGTGGACATAACAGAACTCGTAGGTGTAAATAAATCCCCAAAGCAAATAGTTATGTAAGTCTTCAGCATTAATGTTGACCTCATTAGGTTTATTCGATACACTCTAGCTAAAGGCGTTCAGTCACCCATTCTCACTAGATCACCGTTAGGTGACAAAAAAGTAATAACAACCGATATTTTATTCAAATACTTGACAAGGTAAAAAGGTGCGTGAATAGTAAATGGAGAAGAAAAGGCTAATCAGTTTATTCAAAGCTAGGAAAAGTCATTCGGGTCTGGACATATCAGCAAATATACTGTAATCTGAAAGACTCACTGGTAGACGTTGAACCCATAAACAGCCATTAGTTTCAGCAGGTTTACCTAGTAGTGATTGTCAAGATGGTTTATGTATTTATCACTTCTGTGCTTAACGCTTCAATTATAAACAATCAGAGTACTTCAACGCTAAACACGGCAGCTGAAAAGCATGCCAAAGGTTTCTAAGGATGGCCAACCTGGTTCTATAAGCTTGTTTAGTAATTCGAGAATGGTTTTGGCTGCAAAGGTGCACCGGGTGATTAGTGACACTATCAAGTACCTCTATAGCAACGTAGGAGAACCAAGGAGTAAGTTGAGTAGAGAAAACTGGAGGTGAAGTGCCAGTGCATATAGCCACAGCCATTTCAGGGTCACTACACCACACCATACCCAACTAACTGACGCGAAAGAATCATGCTAGTGTTGCTTCAACACAAATGACACAAAATACTTGATTCGAAGGATTCACAAGTTCCCTCTAGTAGGTCAGGTTGACTGGGACAATATTGCAGCTAACACTACGGAGGTTTGACTAAACACTCGTTGCTAGAGAGTTCAACACTCTGTCCCTAAATCTCATAAGACAGAGTAAAAGACTTACAGGTTGGTTCCGAAAGCGACTTGTTATAGTCATCATAGGTTTCGGAATGACTGGGCATCTGTACAACGCCATTAGATTGACTAAAAATGGTGAACTCTCGAACTTAGGTCCTCCTAGCCGAGGATGTCCGTATCTACACACCATTGGGAAGGAATGACCATGATGCAATCATATATAACATGGTCACAAATCAAATAACCGGGTGGAATGAAAACGAATCCCATTTTCGTTACATCGGGGTAAACTACATGACCATAAGAGGGCATCTTCTACACTGCCCATGTTCACAAGAATGGTAGGGGTTGACAGGCGAATCACACACTTGAAAAGAGCAGAACATCGATGAAGCGAGGCACTGAAGGCCTGCTGCCGGCGGAAAGGAGGGTCTGGTGTAGGTAGGAGGTCTCTCTGAAGGATTCTAACCGTTGTTTCTACTTGGCATTAAAAAACAAATGTAATGACAATGTTCAGAGGGATGGGAAATACTTTCAAACGAAGCCAGCAGCCAAAACACGGGCAAACGCAGAATTTCTCCCTAGGTTCAAGAGAAAAAGAAAATCTACAAACCAAGGTATTTGTACTCTCGAAGATTCAAGGAAAGTGAAATCCCTGAGCTTAGGAAAGTTATCAGGATGAGATAATATTGGCCCAATGGTCTAGAAACAGTATGCAGAAGAGCTCAATTCACTTGTACGTAACCTATTTAAACATTCACTTGAGTCACACCGACTGCTGGCTTAATGGAAGCATGCTACTCCCTACAATCTACATAGGAGGAGATTGGAAATATCCAGCTTGCTACAGATCATTTATATTACTACGAATACTACTGAAGATGATAGGAGGACTCTGGTGAGTGAGCAAACGAAGGAGTACATAAATATAAACTACATTTTCCATGAAAATGGATTTTATAAAAGATATACCTCATAAAACAGCATTGCAACTCTGAGTAGCTCATCTTTTTAAAGGATGTTATCGTTAGGTTCGTAACTAGGTACGCTTGAATCTATTACGGGTTCACTTTAGTCGATAAACGCGAACGAGACTTTTACTAGCGTTCAGGTAGGCTACCTTGATCCCAAAACTGCAAAACAGAAGTCTTGATAAGCGTAGAAAGTATATTCTACAAACACCCAGCAATCACACAGTACAATCAAGCACACAACTCTCGTTTATTTATACATCATAGAAACGTCCTTGGGACAGTTACGAAAATAGCACACTAAAATACACAGCAACCAATCACACAGCCATGGGTTTTCTTGGTGGGAATTGAAATCTCAAGGTCAAATGATCAGCCCATGCTGGCAAAACGTGAAAACCAAAATAAGGCATTTATCAAGCGAGTTTTGGGAATCTAACGTCCCCAATAGTTAAATAAAAATATATTGGTCATTCACTTCATTACTAATCTTTATCAATGTTACCATTGGATTACCTAGACTATATGTATACATGAACTAAATGTCATCAAAGCCTTCTTATCCCCACTCTTATGACAAATACTACTACACGCTTTCTTTATTCATCACAACTATAATTTTATACTGTTTCTGTTACGCATGCACGTTAACGTAAAAAAGTGACCAGAAATAACAGCCGGTGCTTTTGGAAAATCAATAAGTGAAAAATACATGGCAAAATAACTACCCATAACAACAGTCATTCTGTGGTGCGCGCTACTTATAAGTAGTATATGTATATGACGGGAGTGAAAACGTAATGTCTGGCAGCAGAAGATGGGGGAAGACCAAGAAAGGAAGAGTGGGAACACAATGGAATTTGTATGAAACGCATGAATAGTGAAATGTCAGACAATGGATTGATGATGGATTGAAGATTTGCAAATTAACAACGGTTACGATATGGTTTTCCTATTTTACTGAGTAACTCTGTAATTTTCGTTAAATACAATTCAATTGCCCTCATCTGTGTTCACCTTCACTACAATTATATTGTTACTTAATGAATCGCCTCAACAGGTGACCACTGGAATTCAAGTGAGCAGGCATGATCAAGAGAATGAGACATTGGTGGTCGATAATGATGATCATGTGATATTGTGGATTATCTGAGATAACGAAATGCAAACGACTGTTCCATGGGAACTTGGTGGTCTGATGACTAAACATTCATAATGAGACTTGATGGTCCTAGTGTGGTGTACGCTACTTATGTTCACTTAAGTAGTATATGATATCAAATGGAAATCAAACGTCTGACAGCAAAAGATCGAGAAGGAAAGAATGAGAATAGAAGGCGATTTGTAGGCAACGTAAAGTGAACTAAAGTCTGAACAGTCTAAATGAAAAAAACACTGAAATCTGAAACAAATAAGGATTAGTTTGCAAATGATGATTCACGGGAAGCTTTTGTATACATGCCTAACAACTCTGTAATGCCCTCACCAGGGTTTTCGTCCACAACACTAGGTTCAACACTTACTGATAGGATGACCGAAGTGTGTGTGTGTGTGGATAGAGAGTCTCACTGGAAGACGAAACAACTGCTATTCAATGACTTCATGGTTTCAAACATTTGTCTGACCGATGATAAAAGTCAGAGAATCTAATCTCAGTACAATAGCCACGTCTTATCCTCATTTTGATCATACTAAGAGAACGCAATTGATAAATAAGACAGGGGAACTAGTTGATTTCAATGAGAAATTCATTTCTATAAATATAAATATATATATTTAAAATGTTTTTAACAAATAAAATACTACTTACATAATACATATGTGTGTTCGTTTAAAAAATATTGTGAAAAACATTAGAATAATAGTAGAGTTCAGCGAAACAATAAGTATTTGAAAAGTACTAATCAATGCAAGTGAGTTTGTGTTGAATATGATTGAATGTTCTTCAACTAGTTGTCGTAGACATTGGAGAAGATAAAGGATGATCACATCAGTCAGTGGATCAAGCCACCACTTAACGCGACTAGTGGGGAATAGATCTGTACAAACATACACACACAGACTTACACACATACACACACAACTTTCCACACAAACATGTACCAATCAACGTACAATAGTTTCAACAGTCAATCATCTTATTAACTGTGTGTTTTCAATGTTCAATGGTGCGAAACAGTTAACACGGATGGCTTTGAGTGACAGCAATAAGAAAGGAAATAATCCTGACTGATGTCAGAAGCATATTTTACAATTGATTTTCGATGTACTATGATGAAAGATGTTGTCGCAATTCACGACGACCACCATGACGATGATAATGATGATGGTGATGATGATGATGGTGGTGATGATGATGATGGTGTATGACGTAAGAATTCTGCGCTGATGCATTCGACTTCACTGCCGCTGTTGTTGTTGTTGTCGCTGGTGTTATTGCTCCAGTTCCGATTGTTTCTTTTGTTATGGCAGTTAATGATGAAATCATATTGACAGTTCGATTGAAATTCTGACAAGAAATTTAGTTGTATAAAGAGGAAAGATGAAGTATATGTATATATGGGTTAGAAGGGCAACTTTGTATATCAAAGTTAAATGAATTCATTATCAAGTTGCTTTAAACGATAAGCTTCTCTGGAAGCCGACTACTATCTTAGATGCATGGCACATCGAATGTTCCTTAAATCACTCAATATCAAACTAATACACTTCTGTGATCACCTCTCTAAATGCATAGGAAAGACTGGAAGAAACGTTATCTACAAGGTTTTCCGCAACATATTCCACGTAAACGATTTATGTCTAGCGCAGTTTTCACAAGTCAGATCATCAAGCATGTACTGGATAGTAGTGAGTGAACATAAATGTACATGTGTCAACAACAACCCAAATATTAAATATCCAATGTGAACCACTTTTGTTTCGTTCTGCAGAGGTCACTGCCATCAATCACTTCCCATCTGACCTTTGTACGTACACACACATACCGAGTATGACAAACTCATCATTCATTCACTCATTCATACTAGCTCTTCAATATGACCTACAACGTTGAGTGAAACACCCCACTGACATTCACTCAAAACGCCATTGGCGACTTCTGATTAACACTGCATCGTCGTGTAAAACTTCACACCATTCTCCTTTCACCACTTCAGCTTAAACTAATCACTCCAGACTATTATGTTGAATAGGTCGGTTGCTCTTTGGTTTCTTTTTAGGTAAGTTCGCGAACCCATTCCCCTGTACAAATATCAACCAATATTGTTCCCACTTTATTCAAACAGAATATAATAGAATACAATTCATGCAATTTTCTCATTATACTTACAATTAACCAATCTAAACCTGTCAACGAATCATCTTGTTGTTCCATTGTCCATGTCATTTCCCCAGAATCGATACATTTCAACCAGGTTTCATGAATTTGTGCAGATAAATGCTCTTTTGTCGATTCAGGCATCATTGTTGTTTAAGTGAACTGTAAAAAAACAAAAAGAATGGGAGTAAAGTAATGCTTGTTGACTTTATTGTTCTATTAGCTAACGTTCTGTCAAGTTCAGTCGAGTATCTCGTTAGCAATGCTGAAGATATTTTCAAGTTAATAATGGTGAATTTCAATAAATTTACATACACTTCATAGTCAGCATAATAATGCTAAGATTGTGCTTGACATTTTGGAGACTGTTGCTGTCACAGACTACTGACATTAATCAAAATCTAAGGAAATATTTGATAGTGGTGAGAGATTCTACAGTTGCAATCACTTTCAATGGAAACTGTCTTCAATATTCAACAATAGTCATGTTTGCTACAATGACTGACCTACGTGGTAGGGAGCAGTTGAAATCTCAGTGAAAATCAGACGATGGTGCAGTTTATCTAAATGAAGTCTATCAACAGCACATCACCAATCATCGTTATGCAAACCGTTCAACATAGTCGATAAGTAATAATACACAGAACGACATCATTGTAAGATCAGTCAGTCAGTTAGTCAGTTGCAACGTAGAACTACGTACGCATGTACATAAGTTCATGTTGTCATACCACATTAGCACAAAGACGCAAATGTCAAATCAAATCACATAGTGATAAAAATAGTAGAGGTATTAATGGTAATGAAGAAGACTAGGCATTGAAGATATTATTCAAGAAGTATAATTCAGTAAGATAAGTTGAGAAAGACAAAGGTAGGGATGCTGACGAATCCAGAAGATCAGGATTTGAGAGAGCTCAAAAAATGGATGCACTTGCGCCATTGCAAACGATTTTGATCCATGTCACATTCAAGGTCTCTAACCATTGGTGAATTTCGTCTCGCGGACCTCAACCAGACAGCCTACATCTACCAACATGACTCAGTCCACCTGTCAGTGACTTAATGGATTTATACCATGTTTTGGTTTGGCCGCCCCTAACTTTCTTCCAACCTACTCCTACACCAAAAAACATAGCTCGTCGAGGCAGTCGGTGGTTAGGCATACGTAACACATGTTCCCAACCACCTCAACTGATGAAGTTTCAACACTTCATCTACTGATCTGCCATCCTTACCTAGTTCTCGTTTCCTAACTACAGCATTGCTTACTCGGTTGTCCCACGATATACGAGCAATGCTTCTAAGACATCTATGATCGAATACTAGAAACCCACGAATATCTTCTACTCTTAACGGTCATGTTTCACAGCCATATAGGAAAACGGAGCGAACTGCTGCGCAGTACACCCATCCTTTGGTTAGCGAACGGATATCACGCCTACGCTATAAATGACGCAGGTTGGCAAAAGCCAATCGAGCTTTCTGTATCCGTGCTGAGATTTCGTCAGTCAGTAAAACCCTAGCATATGAACACATGAATGAAGAAATTTGAAGCAAGACTTACTTACTCAAAACAGTTGCTCAGCACGTATGGATGTGCAATGTTTCCGACGCCTGACATTCATTCACAATCAATCAATGTGAATTTCAAATTTGAATTCATTCATCTCTACTAGTCTTTCATACAATGCAACGTTATGATATGGATCGATTAATCGACATAAATCACCTGCTTTTATGACTAACTGCAATTTGAATTTATCTCTACCAGTCGTATAATACAACTTCATTTTGCCTCAGAGAATTATGCTATCAGTCAGTCAGTCAGTTGATCGATCGATCAATCGATCTATGGCACTTCAGTCCTTGAAATTAAATTCATCTTAGTTTTCAGTAATACATTGTAGATCCACATTACTTTTCATCTCTGATTATTTCCCTGTAAAATTCTGTATTTTCCTATTTTACTCTTGTCCATCATTCTTTTACTGGCATTCGTAGTCCGTTAGTTTGGTGCCCTGTAGTCAGTCATTATTACATCAACAGTCTTATCATTATGTGAGCAGTGTCAATTGTGAATATAATGACCGGTAATAATGACAAGCTGCCATGTGTATTGAGGCTGTTTTTATTTGTGAATACATGGGCATATCTGTAACTCAGTATGTAATTCACATTCTGTATGTGCAGTGAACATATTTCTTTCTCAAATTCAAACTTATAATAAAATAAATCATGTTTAATCTCATTGAAGTAATTTTGATTCAGTCACAGAATCTAACTGGAACACGACAAATAATGTT